TCTGGGAGTAACTGAGCTAGTTGTATATTGAAGCTCATTTAAAGTAAAATTGAACGTGTACCATGAAATGTATCAGAAAGATAGCCATTGAGGTTCTCAAAACCGAACATAGAGTAAGCCCATATTGGCCCCCACAATTCTACAATGCCCACCATATGTTCAAGAGAGTGTAAATTTGCTGTATTAATACTGAGTGAAGAAAGATCTCCAGCCTCCTGATAGAATGTAGATAACATTCTGTGAGCAATATTTAAATTAGATAATTGAATGCTTTCAGAAAGTAGTATATGAAGAGCTGAAATGAGTAAGGCAAGGTGATGACTATAGTCTGATGCAAGAAAAACAGAAAGTATGGGATAGGCATAAAATAGAACTCAAGCTCTGTACTCTGATGCTTTGTAAAACGCCATGTTATCCAGAGATCGTGGGAGCTGTTGAATCTCATTTACAGGCTTAATTTTAGTCAGTAACTTGTTTATAGTATTCAGATGCTTTCTAAGACTGAATTTCTCTGAATGATAAGATGGCCCAAACCAAAGCTTCATTAATTGCTTAAAGACTCCTTCAAGAATAGAGTGCATGTAGTCAATTGGAATACATACAGGAAGATCTAAGAAATCAGATAAAGGGGATATACCTTTTACACCATGCTTTGGAGTGTTTGACTTTTCAGCTTCCTTGGCCCACTCCTTCATTTGTGTGCTTGTGCGCAGTGTATGGTCATCATTTGGAGGATAAATCCGAGCTCGATTATGGATTTTTCCTTTATCAAAGCAATAAAGACAACCATATTCACCATTGAATTGCTTTGTAGAAGTTGCTGCTGCTCTCGCAGGAAGATCAAAAATTCCCAAAATCAGCTTAATCCTAATCCGAAGTCTACTCCCTGGGACTGCAATTCCATAAATATTAATTGGAGATATATTTTCTAAAATTGGATGCAGCAGAGCTTTCATATCTGGTTTGCTGGGACCAAACCAAAGTGCTGCAACTATAAGGTTATCCATTCTCATTATGCTGATGAGGTGGAATGCTTGTGATCATTAGATATACTGGCCCCTTTGATGATTTAAAAACTGGGACCCCACCAGTAGATGAAACCAGAACAGAATTTTCAGAGCAAGACAAAAACCCACCACTTTTCATTAAATCTTGAATGCACTTTCCATCATGAATATCAGAAAGGCATGATGGATCATGGCTTTTTTGAAATGGCCAGCTGAAGTGGTCATGCCTCTCTATACATTAATGAAAGTAAACTAATGAAATGCATAATGCTTTATGTTGACTGACCATATAGCTGCAGTATCCGCTGTTCTAAAGGAAAGACTGCAAGATCACATACACTTGCATCATCACATGATTCACATTGTTGTTTCTTTTATGAAAGGCTTGCATAACAATTGGAGCAAAAGTAGAGCAGTTGGTGTTGACTCATTTCCTCTAGAAATTTTTTAAGTTGATAAAAATTATCTGGAAGCTTATTTCGTGTTGGACAGCAAATCTATTAAGTATGACATTTAAAGAGTATAGTAAATTATCAATCAAACCTTCATTAGCTGCATAAGATCTTCTATGGCTTTGTAAGACAACTTATTAGAAACTGCATAATACATCAGTGAATACCAACTAGTGTCTTTATTAATCACACTTCCTTCAAAAAGTGGTGTAATAGCTGTAATGAAAGGACAATAATACTTATTCAATCTTATAAACCTGTAGCATTTTTATCAAGATCTAATAAAGATTCATTAGTATCACTGTCGTCACTTATCATGTCTGTAAAGTTTTGATAACAAAGTATTATATATAAGTTTCAGCTAGCTTACATGGATCACTTTCCTCGTCAGTGTTTACCTCCTTAATGTCTTCAAATTCTGGGTCTGAGCCTGTTAATGAAGCTACAATAGTCAGTACAGACAAGTGTAGAGTTTATATAGTTGTGCGATATTTAAATCATACTTATTTCTTCAATGTGATCAGGAGAGCAAGATCTCTGTACAAAAGCACTGTCATATGCATCTTTTGCCCCAACTTTATTGTCAATAGTGCTACGATCTGAGTCATGTGAAAGTATGCATGGCTCAGTTGTCATCATGTGATCATTATGACTCACCTTCTATGAGAATTTCAGTCTCACTAACATTACAATCCTCTAGTTCATTATCATCAGTGTTTGGAGCAAAGTCATCTGGATCAGCTATGGAGTGTTCTTAAATATATTATTACTATATTTGGCTCACATACAGTGTACTGTCAGCAATTCAGCATCACTAGTAGCTGAATTTTCAGCTGCATTTTCCTCTTCCCTGTTGCTGCAGACTGAAGGAGCATCATGCTTCTTTTTCCAATTCCACTTAGTTGGCCTTGGAATGGTAGCTGAAGCTGTGGTGTTGTACAACCTTCTCTGTCGTTTTACTCCATTGTTTAAGGTACCAGTAGTTTCCATTACAGGAGGGTTAGTTTTGCTGCTTTTGTACCTCCAAACAGTTGTTATTGGCGTGGTAATATCAGGATTCCTTAAGTACTGCTTATATAGTTTATTCCGCCGCTTCTTTGTACTACAAGTGGTCATCTTGGCAAAATACGACGCATACGCGGAGTAATAATGCACGTGATCTATTGTGATGACGCAACGTGCATGTGACTTTAACGTGATCCCGCGCATGCTTAGAATTCGACAGTTGCTGCAGTCTAGTTGGTGACTTTGTCAAAGCTGTTGGTGAGTAAAATCAGAGACATACAACAAAATTAAGAGCAATTTACCTGTTTTTAGAGATTAGGGAATAATCTATAATGAGTGCCGGCAAAAGATCTAGACTGCCCAGCCTCAAAGCTCAAGAAACTATCAACACTGGGAAAGCAGCTGCTGCAGAAGGTATGCATTGGAACTAAAAAGAACTGATGGTTCTACTAAAGAGTATCCAGTTAGAGCTAATAAGCTAGAGACTGAGACAGGAGAAAAAGTGACTCAGAAGGACTTGTATCATGGTAGTAATGTAATTTGGAAAACAAGAGGCAAGCCTTATGAAGTTTGTGTGTTGGAAACACACCTTAAGTTTGACTATGTATGTTATTACTCTGTGCACAACTAATATAGACTCATTATGACTTCACTATTATTAAGTGACTGTAAATAATTATTAATGAGGAGCAATGCCAATGCACAGATTATATATTGTATTTTTTATAAAAAGTCTATCAAAAATTCAATTGAGCCATGTACTCATTGTATCTTATAATTGTGCTTGATTTGAGCATTATTTAATTGTAATATAATTTTATACTAATAATAATGACTTTAAAATGTCAACTGTGACAAACCTGCACTCCCAGACACATTAACAATTGGCTTAAAAATATAAGTTAAATAATTAATTACAATAATTTATTACTGCTTATTATATAGGCGGTAGCCTATATGTAGGATTGAGGTTGATTTTTCAAGATGGCGGCCGTTTTTGTAATTTTCAAACACTAATAACTCTTTTATCTTACGTTGCACAGCCTTATAAATGGCTTAGATGAGCTCTCCTTCACTGAGCGATTCTCCTGGTATCTTTAAAGTGGACTGTAATGTAGTGGGAGCATTTCTGGAGAATAGGCCCAAATTCAAATTTCTGGCAAAATTCTTCAGACTTTTTCTTCTTTCATCTTCTTCTATCAACACGGAAATCTTTTAAACCAGGGAACCGCTCGAGTTGGCTTTTACATCATTCCTTTGTGCTTGAGTCAAGGACTGGACATGTGGCTTCAAAAAGAAGCAAAGACAGAGAACAATGGAAGACAAATTCCAGCTGCAGCACCGCGTGGGTTTGTGGTTTGACGCCATTTTAATTGATGCGCACGTGATTAGCATGAATATGATTAACCTAACCACATAATCAAAACACTGAAAACAGAATGTAATTTAATAATTTAAGAAAAAGAATGGAAACAAGTAAATAAAAAACATTAAAAATGGAAAAGTAGTTGGATTAAATTATAAAAAAGTAAAGAAACAAGAGGGTATTTGCAAACTGGTGATGTAAGAAATCCTACACCACTGCATAAAAGACATGGCTTCCACATAGTTATCGTGTAGTAGCCTGTGTGGATAATTACAATGCAGTCAATGCTTTTGGGTAATATTCTTCATGCTGTGGTGTAGGATTTCTTACATCACCAGTTTGCAAATACCCTCTTGTTTCTTTACTTTTTTACAATTTAATCCTACTACTTTTCCATTTTTAATGTTTTTTATTTACTTGTCATTTATAGGTTCAGACCAACTAATAAGAAACAATTATTGTCTGAATCATCGGATAGTGAAAGTATATAATTTATTATCATAGGATAAATAATTTTATTAATGATTTAGGTGAAACGACAACATATAAAAAGCAAAAGGCTAAAAAATTCAAAGGTATGAGCAGCTAAGTCTAACTGACTGGCTTACTTAACTAATTGCTTTTATAATTGCCAGCGCTGCATCTCCAAATTGATGTGTTATTAATTAAATTTTATAGATAAAGGAGCTAGTCCTAGAAAGCTGCAATTAGAACTATACTCTGATGAACCAGAAGGTAACAATTATCATAAATATAACCATTAAGTATTGCAAATTTGATAGATGAGAGCGAAAATGAAGGTGGCAACTCAGAACCTCCTCTACATAAAATACTAAAAGTGATGTCATTTTTTACTGAATATAATAATTATAATGTATAATTATCCGGTAGGTTTAGTTGATGATATTCCTGTGTTGGGAGAAGTTGTCATAAAAGAGGGTATGTACATGTATAGGGAAAAATTATACTTCTTGTCATAGGATATGACTTTCAAATAGATGGCACACCAAATAGGATTCATGTAAAGAAAGGAATTAGAATTATATTATGTCTTATTTACTTGCATACTTTTTACAACACTTCTAAGGAATCACCTAAGGTATGTCAATATTTCTCATTACTAACATTATATTTTTTGTAATAGAGTTATTTAGCTTTCTCGTCTCCATTTTCGGCTACAAATACTACTTCAACCGTTGAAGTAATTTGATTGATTGATATTATTTTATGTATTGTAAACCACATACATAGGACAAACTCTATAAAATTGAAAGGAAGGTGGATATAATTTTGAAGTACATTAAACAAACAGTATGTTTTATTACTGACAAATACCAACTTATTCTTGTTAAGAAACAGGTGATCAATATAGATGATGATGATCTTATTGACAAAAAAGCTAAATTCACTACGGTATATGCAATTTTATAGTAATGACATCATTTTTATTATAAATTTAATATAGAAATGAGGAATTAATTTACTAAGCCTGAGGGCAATCAATCCTTGTAAATATGCGCTGGAGCTAATGGACGCCATATTTTCAGTAGAAGAAATAGCAACTCACTGCTTTGAAGGAACTGAAAGGGCTACTAAACCTCCTTTAAATAAGGAAAAAGTCTCTTTATTATACGGTACAAAGCTGTTTGTTTTGATTTAATAATATGGGTACATTTACTAGATTGCATCAAGGAGAAGTTTGGACGGGAGAAGTTTCAAGAGAACCAGGCAGCTATTGTCAGGAAAGCGAACCAAAAATGTATCGATGTTAAAAGAAAGTATGAAGCTACAATCAAAGAAGCAAGTCTAAAATAAAAACTTTATCTAATACTATGACTATAGAAATTACATAATTTATTATTGATTTTTGAAGATGATTTGTTAATGTGATTTGATTTAATTATACAAGATCATATAACAATGATCTTACAGGATCTTCAAAGAATAATGAATCAGATCAGTAATGATCTTACAAGAAGAAGTAAAGATCTTGTCAGTTTTTGGAACTTCTTGTCCCATAATCTTATAAGTGTCAGATCTTATACTGTGATCTTCATAAGATCTTACTTAAGATCTTACACAAGATTTATTTGCTGGGTATCCTCTGTGTGCAGCCTTGTGTATATTTGTTAGCACATAAGTAGTCACGATGAGCTCATATAATATCAGATTGACTTTGTAGCATATATAACCATTGATATTGATGACATTAATGTGTACATGTAGTTTGAAGTCTTAGCTAGCAAGCCCGAGGTCACTGGCTCAGGCAATTGGTCTATTCTCTGTGTACAGCCATGTGTATATGTATTTGCACATAAGTAGTCAGGACGAGCTCATATAATATCAGATTCACTTTGTAGCGTAGATAACCATCAAGATTGATGACATTAATGTGTACATGTAGTTTCGAGTCTTAGCTAGAAAGCCTGAGGTCACTGGCTAAGGCATGGGTCTATCCTCTGTGTACAGCCATGTGTATATGTTTTACCACATAAGCAGTCACGATAAGCGGATATAATATCAGATTCACTTTGTAGCGTAGATAATTATTGGTATTGATGACATTAAGGTACTTTTGTATGAAATTTTAATATTTTTTTATTTGCTGCCATTTTATAGTAGAAAAGAAGTTGTACCCCTTGTGTATTTTTAAATTTTTACCATGCACTCTTTAGAAGTAATAGATCATTGAACTTTAAATATTAAAAAAATTCATGCTTAACTTCATAGTTTATAAGCCATCTTTGATCTTGTGTCACTTCTGGATGCCTCTGTATATTATAAAACTGGCGGGAAAAATTAATAGCAAGCTGGGGTTAATTTATGACGTCATATTAGTCAAACCATTAATAAAAATGGCCACCAGTATGTATTTCCTGACTATTGTTTATTTAGATGTTTCATCTGGTGAATGCAGGCTCTACGAAGCTCTAAAGCTTGAAATCGTGGCATAATGAAAGCAAACACTCAATTAAGTTTGTATGCAGTAAATGCTTTTGTGATACACTGATGTTTGAAAGTCACAAAACTTTAAGAGATTGCAGCCCATTTTGCAAAACTTGTAAAACTTTTGCCAAATGATGCAACATACGTTAATAGAAAGTAATATTATAAACACAATGATATTACAAAAATTAAAGTACTCTCATCATGTTCAAGAATTCTTTACTCAGTTTTCATCCATTTTACAAAGTTTAGTAAAGTTTATTGCATCTCACTATTGACAAAAAAATTGAAAAAATTATATATTGTAGAAAAAGTATAAAGAAAACAATTTGTGTCCTGAAATCTAAATTATGCCTTCAGCCCGTTGTACCTTAA